TATTTATATTACATATAAACGTTTTATAAAATATGCATACAAAATACTTTTTAGGACATAGTGTAGGTATACTTATTTGTACATACATTGAACATTCTAAATAAAGCAGAGAAAATATAATTTTCTTATTTTTCATACGAAAAAAATATGAAAATGAAACAACAAAATGTGAAATTTTGTAGAAAATAAATCTAAATAAACAACACAACCGTCCACAATATGCACGACCGTAATCATTGAAATACATAGAAAGACTGATCACTGAGGTAATTGAGAAAAAAATTCAAATATTACCCCTCTTATTGTGCAACACATATTCACATTCACATATCATACTTCACTTTATTATATTACAATGCAATATGCAATACAATAGTTAACACTTAACATACTTATGTACTACTCAATTTCCACAAAGTCTCTGGTTTTTGTTAACTTTCACAGCATTTCACAGCAATTTACAATTCGTATCTAAATCGTATTACGGCAGTACTACACAAACACATTCAACCAATATGCTTATGCGCACATACACATATATTTATTTTCAATTTTTACTCTTCTCATATTTTTCCTCTCGCTATTTTTCTATTTCATATTTTTATTGTCTCTATTTCTTGATTTCAAATTTATTATAATTATAAATCAGCAAGAAATGCTTCAAAGAATCAAACCTACATAACTTCATCCGATGGAGTCCCCCGATAAAATAAGTACATATGATTGTTTCTTTGTTTACCATGGGTATGGCTTATATAAAAAATACTACAGATTTAGGCTTTATACCATGGTATATATATGTATGTACATACATGCATTTGTATGATAATATAATTAATATGCATCTCGAAGTAATAGAAATCGCGGCCTGGACAATACTTCTTGTTAACGTAATATTAAAAATGATGTTTACTTTGTCAACCAACCGCAGCAATAAATGCGTATAATATTTACGTTTGTTACTTGGAATTGTTTGATAAAAATTTTAGTTTCATTTCTTTTTATATTATATATTGCATGTATTATAGATAATGAAAATTTTTAACCTCGTGTGTTGTAAACCTAAAGATGTAGAATAAAAACTGCTGAAGCAGCCTTCTTTTGGAAATTTTCCACCAGTTTATTTATAAGTATGGATATGTACATATACCTACAGCCGTGTGAATATGTACATACATATACCTACATGCTTATGGTGTGTCTATTTGGTAACGATAGATGGTGAACACGTATGTACATATATGTGTACATTACATTGCTTTACATTTTTTGATTTACAAGAATTACAATAAAAATGTAGGCTCGGACATTCGTTCTCTGCTCGTAGTTCTGTATAATTTATGTGATATTAAAAATGTTATAAAATGAGTATGTATGTAAATATATAGCTATGTATGTGTGTAGATAAATTCAAAATATTTTTTTAAAATTTTCACCTAATGAGAAACCTATTTTTATTTCTAATTCTATAAAGCTTAAAACCAATTTTCGAAAGAGACATACAAATGTACATACGCAAATTCATACATACATAACAATTTTTTACAAAGCTATGAAAACAAAATGGTGCACAATATATTTCTTACTTAAAAGTACATAAGTACGTACGTTCGCATATTTTTTATTATAATTTTATAAAATTTTAATCCAATTTATTTCTTCTTTCGTTTTCTTAATATTTGATCTAAAAGTTTTATAGCAATGTAGTAATACGAATCTGCATATATTTATGCATGTGTCTGATTATTTGTAACACCAATCAAACTAAATAAAGCATGTTGTGCGTAAGTTTAAAATTATGTATAGTTTTATAGATTTTTTTTGTATAAGTTTAAACAAAATCTTTGTTCTTTCGTATGTATGCATGTATATACGTGCTTAAGCCTATACATAAGCACTTGCACTTGCATGACTTAATCACCTTTAAATTATACTGGTAGCATTGTTTAAAAATAAAGCATACCCAACTGAACTTGCATTATTCCCCTCTATCGTGTAACCCGTCTGGTTGAACAATTGTTTTTGTAACTGTACATCGATTACTGAACTAACTAAGTACATGGTAAAAAAAGCCAAAGTCACGTAGTCCGCAAACGGAGAAAATAATATTAAACGGTATATGTATCTGAATGGTGTATAAAGGAGAAACAACAACTACATAAGCGCATTATGTAGCTATACGTATGTTTGCTTTATACATATTTATTTTTACCTAGAATCTGTGAGTATCCGGTTTTATACATGTACGTATTGATTTAGTTATGAATCATACGTTATTTACATACACAGTATGTAAATAACGACAAAACTATAATATTAATCGAATATGTAAAATCTTATGCTTCATAGAAAAACTTAATAGAAAAACTTTTGCAGCAAAAATATTGTTCTTAAATTTTGAAATTTGTGATGTAATCTTTAAAAAAAAAATTTGATGCTTGTATGAATGAAGGAAATCAAGGATGAAGATTAAGTATCTAATAACTAGCTTTTAGCATGTACAGCATTTTTACTATTTGTATATCAACAGTTTGCGTTAAGCAAAAACCACAGCCTAGATTTGCCAAAATGATCCTTAAAAGTCTAACAGATCCTTATATACTTGTTTGTGTAATACAATTGACAAGCCATCAGTATAAATGTTCCTTTTAAAATTATTCCACTTTATTTGTGAGATTTTTATGAGTATATGAAATAATAATGTAGGTACATTGTAATGATTTTTAAATTGTAAACTTCATACGTTATGTAAGTATTTATTTTTGAACTGTGTAAAATAAATTCATATGAACTACACATATGTGCGTTATGCATATATGTATACATATATCACATATAATACAAAGTAGAATCAATTTAGCTAAGTTTATTTTTGCCCTTAAAATCACCCTGTTTAGCTTGTCCAGCATTGAAGCTTCTGCCAACTTTTGATATTTTCCAAACTGAGCCATAATTAATTATATGAAAACTTCAAATTTTATCAGTCAATTAAATATAGCTTAGATAATTTGTAGCCTAAGAAAATAAATATGTAAATACATACATGTGCATATGTATGTATTTACATATGTATATAATTGTACGTAAAACAAATGAAATTTCATTTATAGGTTTTTAGAAAAAATGTAAAGTTTTTAGTCACATATTCTACAAAAATTGCACTATATGACTCTAAATTGAGTTTTAATTGCATATATGTATGTATTTATGTACTTATGTAAATAGTTTTATTAAAAATATGTGTTAAGTGAATACCTAGATATTTTGACATCTTATTTAAGAGAAAGAAGAGAACAAAATTTTGCATATGGAATTTGTATGAATTTCTACTTGTGCCTAAGTGCAACTGTAAATCCTTAATTTAATACTCCTGTCTTCTATCTAACATAATAATGATATTATTAGAATAAAGATATAAAACTAAAAACAAGAAGACGTTAAGGAGGAAGAAGACCTTACTAAAAAGTTAACTACAAAATTTGCACAATACAAAAGAAATCAAATAAACTGAGAATGTAAGATTACAAAGGGACGTTTCTAAATAATAGTTTAATTTTATTATTTAAAATTTAAAAATACAAAAAAAATAAGTAAACTGAGGGTGTGGGTTTACAAAAATAAAGTGGAATCATGAGTTTCTATTATATAAAATGTTTTATACATTTAGAAAGAAAATCGTTTTTGTTTGAAAAGGAAAATATATAAAAAACTGGATTACAGAAATTATGTATTAATGTATTCATATTAATTTTGAAAAGAGTCAAAAATAAAGAATTCGTGATACCACATACACATATCGAATATTAAATATAAAATCTATTTTAATAGATATAATTTGGTTGAAATAAGAGAAAAACTTTTTTGAGTTGACTATGTATTTTATGTCGTACATAAGAATATTACGAGAATGAAAAAATTCTCACTTTTTCCTTTAATAAAATCACTAATACACTTTAAGGAACAATATGTTTCACACATGTTTTTAAATATATGTATGCATAATGCAAAGTAGAAGTCATATGGAAATATTTTTTTATCTTCTTTATTACACCACGTTTTGTTTTTTTATTTTGCCTGCTGCAAAATATTTCTCATTCGAATCTCAAACTTCAAGATTTTTTCGACTGCCTTATACATATCTGATGCGAATATATTACCATTTTATATTCTCTTCTTCTAATTTGCGAGAGGAAAAGAGGGGAAACAGAGAAAAATCGTTTATTACAAATATATGAAATTCATAAAATATAATTGATATATACAATGTACACGAAACACATAATTTCATCAGTGATCCGTTACACAAGCAGGCTTATAAATATAACATAATACAAACACAATCAAACAAAACGAAATTTATTTACAAAGAGAGGCAACAGAGAGAAATAGTCACTATTAACAAACTTTTTTTATAATTTAAGCTGCAAGGCAGGGCAATGAATATGGAATATAGATAGGAAATGGAAATGGAATACATATTTAATTAAATTGCTGATGAGTTAGTGCTTGCTTAGCACACACATCTGCATAAATTTTCATTGATTTTCATTTCTGTTTGCCCAACATTTGCCTGTTTTTTTGTACTTCTCTTCTTGGTCTCCTATAATTTCATTATTATTATAAATGTATTCAACGTAAAATCTTTTCTCTTGCTTAGGTACATAAATTACTAATGTATAATTCTATTTCCACTCCTACAAATACAATTTCAGAGCTATATACATACTTTAAAAATTAATGAAATCACACAAACATTTTCGTATACAATAAATATACAAGAGAAGAAAGAAATTTGATTAACACAATGAGTTAAAATGAAATAGAGAATGAAATATATTTGAAGATAGAAAAATATAACCATTTCATTTACGCATACATCATTGATCGAAAGAAAATAGCCTATAAATACAGAGCACTGTTGCCGGCCGGAACAGTAACCATTGAACACTGCTGATATTCTTTTCGTTTAATTAATATATGTAAGGTAAAATACAGTCTAAAAAAAGAAGCAAAAATAAAAAAAGTTATTTTAAGAAAGAAAAAAAAATTTGATTTTTTTTTATACCAAAATACAAAGAACTAAAGGAAAAAGATTAAAAAAGACACCTATTTGTGTAAAAATAAATTATATAGAAATTTTAAAAAATACTTAAATTATTTATTTTAATTGATTTAAAAAAAGGAAAATTTATTTTTGATTAAATTACAACTATAAAATAAAATTACTTTAAAATATATTATGACTGAGAAACATTTTTGAGTATTTTTCAAATATATATGTTTAATAATTATTTAAAATTAGAAATATGTACTTTTTTTGTTTAAAAAAAAATAAATAAAAATTACATATGTATACATAACACTTTATATGGGAAATATAAAAATCAATAAAGGATTTGACTAAAAAATTAAACGAAAATCGAGTATCAGAGAGCGGATTAGTGAAGCTAATAAATTCAAAATAATTTGCAAAATATATCCATACATAAATACACATGTTATATGAGATATTTTTTAATAAAGATAAAAATCAAATAAAATAAGTATGTATATGAAAGATATAAAAGTTAAATGAAAAATAATTAAGTGTATGTATGTTTATATAAAATTGAAAATTCAAGTGATAAAAGTGCTGTGAAACAACGAAATTTTCAATGAAATAAAAATAAATGGATAGAACTACAAAGAAAAATAATAAAAAAAAAATAAAAATTTAACAAATTACCTAGTTGTTGGTTTATTTAATTAAAATATTTTTTTTTTATTTAAATTATATTGAGTCTACAAAATTGTTTCACATCTTCTACTTTACTATCTAAACAGCGCAAAGTGAATAACAGTTTCTTTTCGTTATTTAAAATTTTACTACAGTATTTTCAAATTAAAAATTTTTTTTATTAATATTCAAAAACAAAAGCTGTTAATATTTAATAAAATACTCAGTTTTAAAAGAAATTCAAAATACCAAATTCGAAATTTTTCAGCAAACGCAATTTAGAATATTTACTATTTAACGTTAAATATATATTTCAAAAAAAAAAAAAAAAAACAAAAAGAAACTGACAAAAAAATCAAAAATTGCTGCGGAAAAAAGCAAGTTAGTCAAAATTGACGAAGTATTTGAAGAATTACTCATGAAAATGGAAGTACTTTCAGTGCAAAATCAATTCCAAGGGCATCAATTTGGTGTCATTGGTTCTAATAAAGTTAAAGGTAAGAAGATGCTTGAAAAAGAATTAATTATAAAGTGCAAAATATAATATTTATATCTTACATACAACTATGGAGATTTAAAAAATCTTTTTAAACTGAGTTTATTGAAACAAAAGAATTTTTTCTGTTCTGTTTTTAACAAAATACATTACCGAAAATCTCTGAAATACTTAATGAATAAATTGATATACATTGCAAAAAAGTTTGTTTTTCACATTTATATAAATAGATAATTATTATGTTAGATAATATGCATATGTTAATTTTGTATTCAAAACACTTTAATTTATAATGTACCCATATCATCTAACATAATAATCGATTTTATCAGAAAGATGTTCTATATTTTTAGAAAAAAAAAACTGGTAAATATTCCCATTAAAATTCTATCTTTATAGGTATACAGGTATAAGTTGGTACCTACATGCTATATAATAAATATTTATGTACCTACCTACCCAGAAACGTATCTTTAGAAATATTTTACTTTCCTATCCAGGGAAATAATATTTTGAAGGATAAAATTGTTGTATGAGATGGGATGTACAATTATATAAATGAGGAAAAAAAATTATATTAAAAAATCACATGTTTTTCCTGCCAATTTTTTAAAATTTGTATTTAATACAATGACTACATATTTTCATAGCGTTATTAATTTGTGTGGATAAAAAGAATAATTTTAAAGAACCTGAGGGAGATGGAAAAATGGAAATTTTTCAACGTTTATTGAAATAAATATTAGCAAAAGAAAAAAATGTATAATTTTTATAAAGAGATATTATATTGTATATAAATTTTACAAAAAAAAGGCTAAAGAATAGTTTTACCTAAAATTAAATAAAAATAAAATAGTTAAAAATTTCGAGTTATGAATACACATACATATTATATACATACAAACATATGTATGTACGTTATAAAACATCAAAAATATATGAATACATACTCGATATGCATTTTTATATATTTATACCCATATGAATATCTTTGTATGTGTATGTGAATTTAAAAAAACTTCCATTTTTAATTACCTACATTTAATGATTTTAATTATGTACATATGTGTATATATGGAAATAAGCACAGTTTTCAAACCCATACCTACTTCAAATATAATTTAAAGATATGTATAAGGAAAAATAAGAAACTTCATAAAAACGGCTGATTTTAACTCAGCTGTTCAGCTAGTCAAAGAAAAAAAGGCATAAAAATAATAAATATGGATGTATTTTTCTTTTGTGTAGGTATAATTTTTTTGTTTTATAAGAAATTATAAAGAACTAAGACTACACATATGTACGAACAACTGTGCAGATAAACGTTTTAATGGAAACATATTATGTTGTATAAGTAAGTTGGGTAAAAAAACGTCAAATTTTTTATAAAAATTAATATATACACTATCGCTTTTAAATTAATCAAAACGTTTTTTTATGTTAGAAAAATTTTTATAATCTAAAAAATGAAAGAAAAAAATTAATATTTGTTATTTCCAAAAAATATGTAATGAATTTATGTGAATGAACACAAACATATGTATATTATAAAATAAGTACACTTTGCAAATATTCGAGGTACAAAAAATTAAGATAAATATAAATAAGTAGTTACCTACCTACTATGCTACTACAAAAGATGCGGTGATATCACATGTACGTAAGAGTATAAAAGCAGAATATAATATTATATATTATTAGTTTGAAAGAATCTCTGAGAATATTTTGAAAACAGTTATTTTCAACAATTCCCCTTTCAGTAATTTCCCAAATTTCTCATTGTACTTTTCCAAATTTTTCATAAATACTTATTGTACATAAGAAGGTAGATTTATTTTGAAGAGAGACCTTTCTGTTTTTTATGGTTACTCTGTTTTATTAAACAGCTGACTTATTTCATACACATGCGTGTATGCAATCATGTTTATTATATGAACATTGTATATAAGTTTATGTGGAGATTACAAATACACATATTATTATAGTAAAATGTATTGCAAGCTCTTGAAAAGCGAATGTATTGGATAAAGAAATAAAATTTAATTTCATAACTTTGTTTAAATTTAATAATTTAAATAAATTTATGAATATTGTTTGCAATAAATGTAATTCAAAAAAAATTAATGAACATTACATCCTTATAATACACCTAAATTACTTATTTTTAGTTTTACATACCTAGTTTCAATAATATTTTAGATTTTTTATTCAGTGAAGCGGCTGAAAATTTTATACCTACGTGGAGGGTAGGTATTTCATCTATCAAGAGATATCTATGTAAAATAAGAAAGTTGGGTAAAAAACGAAATATTATATTACGAAATAAAATACTTATGTATATATATTCTTGTTCCGTTTGTTGTTGAAGCACTCATTCGAGAACCCAAAGAGATAGATATTTAAATTTGGGCAGATTTGTTGATCGGTATAGAAAAAGAATAATATTGACCTGTTAGAATTGAAACCTGCTATAGGGTCCGGTAGGGACCTCGTCAAAATTCAAATTTCCGATGCAAATCCTGTATATCGTTGAAAAAGTCTCCTAAATCTAGATAACTTTTGTGCCACAACTTTTTTAAACATCGATTGTTCAATATTCCAGGGCCTGAGAAATTTTAAATTTTGAAGTTAAGATAAAATATTCAATTTTGGCAAATACTATTTTTTTTTTTTAAGAAACTCAGTTATTTTTTAATGTCACATTCTGCAACGTAATAACATATACAAGTATAAAATGTCTTTCTTTTTCTGTGTTTAAAGAATTGGCCATTAAACTAGATATGGATAATATATTTTCGAATTTATGTGGGTATTGAATTCATATTTGAAATCTTTTTTTTTTTTTCAAAGAAGTACCTTTCACCTTCGTAAATGCCAAGTAATTTAAATTGCAAATCCAAGTAGATATCTATAAAGTAAGATTTTGTACAGACAAAAATATATTCTACTCGTATTTTAGAAACTAAATTGAAGTACATATTTACTCGTAAAATATACTTTTATTTAATTGACATAATATGTACTTTATTATAGATATTTATTTGATTATGCATTTTTTTATTTCTATACAATTAGTTTTTAATTGGAACTGTAGAACGAAACATTTATGTATATTGACTCAAAACTCTGTGGCAAAAACAAAAATAAATACATATAAGTATGGAATTATTTTTCTATTTTTTCTTTTTTGAAATATATACACACAAATTACAGTATAAATTGTGGATACACATCTATACACATATTTATTCTTACATATCTAAAGTTAATTAGTTTTAACTAAACACTCCGCAGCTTGTATATATAGAAGGTATTATAATTACATACATATGTTTATAAATAATAAATTAATTTTAATTATGTATGCAGATATCTTGTAAGAATATATTATGCATACTAGCATTGTGTATATAAAGATGCTTTTAAAAAATAAAATTTGTTTACAATTATTACTAATAAATTGTGGCTTTCCCTTCTTTTCATTTTTTTTTTGTATGTGTCCGTCATTTTTGTATAAATTTGCATTTGAATTGAAAATTAAAAAAAAACTCAAAATTATTTTATTTTAATAAAATATTTGTTCACAGTAGGCCTGGATACATCATATTATTTTTGATCAACTAATTTTGGATTTTTTTTAAATATACACATACATACATATGTATGTATTTAAATCAATTAAGAAAACTTCCAGGATTATTTTGGAAAAATAAGACGAAGTAATGCCATAAATATCTATCAGGCCATCAAGTTCACAGAGCAAATCGAAAATAAATTCCAAATTTACATTAATTTTAAATGGAAGGTGTTTCGGAATTTATTTGTGTGAAGAAATTGATCAATATTTTCCTCTACTGATCATGGCTCTATCGCTTCTACATATTTTTTGAATTTTAATATTTAAATTTCAAACAAATTTACATATCATACAGGCCTGATAGATAAATATGGCATTAGACATGCCATACATATGTAATTACTTATAGTTTTTTTTATATTTTTAATTTACTTCGTAAAACTCTATATCAAACAAATTCTTTATTTTACTTCGTTTTATTTTTACAGACTGGACAAGTCCACTAACTCCACCGCCATCATCTCATCATCACCATCATCATCATAAATCTAGTAATAATAGTAGCGTCGATGAAGTTGATACAATATCACGAAATCAGAATCATCGACACCATACTAATAGCGATAACACAACAAATTTAAGAATAAACAATTTAGTTTTTGAGGACACGAATCAAACATCACCAGTATCTGGTATTATTGGTGATAATAACTTAATAGCAACAAATAATATATCAGAATCTTCATCATTTGTATCGAATTTCGATACAACTGCTTTAAATGCACTATCATTACGTTTACAAAGTGAATTAAGAGCAGCAAAAAGTCGCCATTTAGCATGTACCGAAGTATTATTACCATCAGATTTATTACATAGGGTAGCTGTTGAAATATTTAAAGTTTCAGAAAAAGAACCATGTGGTTTAAGAGGATGTACAGTGTTTATTGAATTTGAAGATGAACCTAGTAATACGAGGTAAGCCGTTATTGAAATACATAGTTAAATATCTTTTTATATTTCATTATATTAATAGTTAATAAGTTTTTTCCCTGTTAACGAAACAGTAAAATACTGGCTAATATTTAAGCAAAAGTTTGTTACTGAAAATTAATTTGCATATACATTACTCGTAAATGCTAATTTAAATCAATTCAAGTAAATTTATAGTTTATTTGGTATACTAATATTCAACAAATGAACTTTTTAATTATCTTGTTGATTATAATGGATTCTTCTATTTAAATATTTAAAAATTAAATTAAATTAAGTGTTCTTAGTTTGTTATAAAATGTGCAAGGAAAATAAAAAAATAGAATTAGATTAGAGCAAAATAATTGAATTGGTTTAAGGAACAGTTGCAATTGAATTTGTTTCTTTTTTTTTTTTTTGATTTTATAGACAAGAAAATCTACTGATTGTTAAGTTTCTACTGAAAACGCAACTCACAAATTATTCATCTTTAAAACTAATTTTTGCTTTTTCTTTATCGTTTTTAATAGGAGAATCGCCTCTTTGAAAATAGATCCAAATACAGTTTCCACTTTTGAATTATATTTGACACTAAAACACGATAAAAGTGGTTGGACATCAATTTTGCCACAATTTTTAAAGTAAGTTCAAATTTGTGTTTAGTCTAAAGTTTTTTATTTTTACATATTTTGATTAAAATTAGTAGATGTACGATTTGTGAAATTATCTTAACAATTAAGTTATATTATTAACAAATGTTAATAAAAAATGGAAATTTAACAAATTTTTCTAATTCAATTTTTAAAATTAATTTTCTTAAATTTTTCTGTTAATTGCTTTTTACTTTCAGAAATTTGGCTAGAAGCAGTACAATTATGATCAGCCCGGAATTTATATTGACAAAAAATAAACTTTATCATAGTTTTGCTGAATAAAAAATATTTAATTTAATTTTCTAAAAAATAATCAACAAGAGAAACTTTATAATAACTCAATTTTATCGTACAATTTAGTTTGTTTTTTTTTTTAACAAATTTTTTTTAAATAATTAATAACGATTATGAAAGTTATTTTGTGCATTATGTTCGTGCTATTTAAATTAGTTAGTATTTTAAGATAGAAGAAAAAATTTATTATCTTTTAATTCTATATTTCAAAAATAAAAGCAGTGAAAATCCCTCCGATAAAATATATACACAAACACGGAAAGAAATTCTTATCAAATTGATATGAACTCTTAAAGTACTTGTGACACAAATTTTAACAAAATTCTCAAAATTATAAAACAAATAAATAAAAATTAATTTCAAAGTAATGATAGAAGTGCATTGGATGAATACAAAATTTTGAAAAATAATATTAATGAATTGCTTTAATATTAACCAAAAACAAAAAAGTCTAAAATTAAAAAAAATGTGCTTTATTGATTTTATTATTTAATGAATTTGAAAAAAAAAAAATAAAAGAGCCATAAAGAGGCAATAAGTTTGAAAAATTATTAAAAATAAAAGAAAAAATGTGTTAAGCTGCAAAAGCAAATTTAAAATTAAAAATTAATGGGTTGATAATATGCAGGAACTGCAATCAATATTTAGTAATAGTAATTTATGACAAAATATTAATAATTTTGAAATTAAAAATAAATTTAAATATTATCCAGATAGAGAAAACAAAGGAATCACTTATTCATAAAATAATTTAAAAACAAATAAGGACCAAGTATTCATAAAAAATTTCTTATCTAAAAGTAAAAATTTATATTTCACTTTCTAATATAACACCCGGGAGATGTATAACAGCCTAATGTCAATGCGTTGGCAATGTAATATTGTGATTGACTTGTGTTTTCTTGACGTTTTTTATTCCTTAATATTTTTTTTGAACCAACAGAAAACGAAGTGATTTATGGCAAAGCAAAAAAATGTAATCAATTGGAACATATGTACTAAATAATAATTATAAAATATTTATTGTCCAATGCTTTTCATCAATCGCATTTTAAAATTCTTAACTTGTGTTTTAACATCTGATAGTAAGCAGAATATTTTTTACACAACTTTATTTAAGCAGATAGTTGAAAATTAATTTCCAGAAGCCACAACAGTTAGCTATTGCAAGACAAAAAAATTAACGAAAAAAATTGCACAGCCACATAAACTACAACTGCAGGTACAGCAGCAATTATAGTTAAATAATAAATATTTTAGTAGTGTAAGTAAAAATCAAATAAGAAAAAAAATTTACAAAAAGTAATATCATGTATTTCTGTGCTTTTTCTTTTATTTAAAATAAAACCAATTTTTAATTTAGATACATACTAGCTATATATAATTTTTTATTTGTCTAATTTTATTAAGTAACTTATAAATTATTTTTATCATAACTAGAAGTTAATTATTAATAATTTTATCTTAAATAAGTATTATCATCAGAAACAAAGATGATGTGATATTAATTAATATTCAAAAAAAAAAGTAATACAAATAAAATAATTTATATACAACAAAAATAAAAATGTCTTATATTAATATATTATATTATGTATTATATTTCTTACAGTATATATTATAAAGCCTTTATACATATGTAAATGAAAATATCTGTATCATCTAGAAAGTATTTATATATATATGTATATATATATATATATATATATATATATATATATATATATTTATGTACATACATATATAGATCATCTAAAAATCCGATATAAATATTTAAATATTTATGTACATATATACGTTATATATATGTGTATATATCCATGCATATTGTGTATATTGCCTATAATTTATTAAATTTAATATATTAATTTGTGCGAATATATATTATTCATATTGGCAAATTTTGGAAATACACTTTATTGAAACTTTAAGTTAATTTGAAAATTTTTTCTGTAATATACAAATATTTTTTATTACTTTGAATTTAAGGAAAACCATTTATTTATGCACATATAAATTTATATTATTTATACATGCATTGAAGTACGTACCTATGTATATATAATCAATGCAATAATATTTTACATAAGTTTTCATAGAAACCTTAAAATTGAAAAATAACCTATTGATTTTACAAATTTTATTGAACATTATAATTTAATATTATCAACAAATTAAAATAAAAAAAAATCAAATATGTACATACATAAAAATTAGAAAAGTTATCAATAAACCTTAAATATTTAGAAAAAATGCGAAGTTCATACATGTTTCAAATAAAGGTAAATACGTACATAAATTTATGTATATGATAAAAAAGTAAGAAACGTTTTTTATAAATTCTACTATTTTGACTTTTTTTTTAATTTTATTAAAAGAAAAAAATATTTAAAGGCATAGAAAGGGTATTGATTGTTGCTAAATAAAAAAATATTCAAATTATAGGATTATGTTTATTTTTATAATACCAAGAACCCCTGAATAATCATACCAAGAAATTCCTAAATAATCGGAATTCATTGAAATCTAAAAGTTGACGAAAATAGTTTCGAAATACAATTTTTTGACCGAAAACGTTTGATATGTTCAATACATATTAACTTCATCCCGATTTTTTTGAAATTCCTGGACAAAATTAATATTGTAACATTTTTGTAAAAAATAATTTTTTACAAATTTTCACCCTGACAAATAAACCATTTAAAATATCTGAAGCAAAAACATTACATATATATTAAACAATATATTACATATATATAAAACAAACATAATGTAAAAAGAACAAGAGATGAAAAACAAATAAACTATTGCATAAAAAATAACAAATTAACATATAATATAATAACGAAAACACAACAGCAGTTATACATATGCATATATATGATAAAAATATTAATATGTATAATAACAGAAATAATAATAATAAGAATAATAATAATAATAAAAATAATAACAAAAATAATAAAATAATAGGTATACATACATTTTTGTCCCACAATATAACTTGTAAAAATTATTATTAACAATTATTATAATAAAATGCAAATATTATAACTAAATGTAACTATGAATCGTGATAATAACTGTAATAGTGAAAATAATTTTTCAACTAATAATAGTAATAAAACAATAATAACGAAAAAACCTTATTGATTATTTTCAATACTGATTTCAAAAAAATTAATAGAGGCAACCTTAAATATTAATCACTTGAAAATTTCAAAACAACAAATATTATATACAAACCAATTAAAAAAGCATAAAAAAAAATTAGAAAAAAGATGAAAACAATGAAGTAAATTATAAAGTAATCTGTGTTATAGATTTTTGTAGGTTAGGTTTATAATTTCGAAAAAATATGAATCTTTGTTTACGCATGTATGTATATATTAATATATAAATAATATACATACCTATATTGATTTTTTAATTTTATATTATATGCTTAAAACGTATCAAAAAAGGCATGTTATTTTTTTAGTTGTGTATATGCTAAAAATTAATTTTTAATTCTATTTTTATTTTAAAACTAAAACACCATTAATACAAGATTGAAAAACATGTTACTTTATATTGTTTAAACTATTAAATTTTCAAAAAAAGTTTTAAATGCGCTTATTTCAAAATTTGTTTAAACTTAATTTTTTGAAAATATATATGTATATACCATATAATTCCAAATTATTATAAACTTTTATATATGTAAATATATAAGGAAAGAAATAAATTGGGATTTTTAAACCCCAATATGTTGTTGATTGATTTGTAAAAGTTTATTATATACTATTATTAGATCATATTATATATTTTTTTCAACCTAATATTTTGCGCAATAAAAATATAGTATTACGTATTTTATATAAAAACTTCAAAATTATTCGTTTTTTTGCTATGTATTTATACATATATATATACATATGGTGACATAAATATTATAATATAAAATATAATACGATATTTTATAAATATAAAATATATACGATATTTTATAAATATAAAATATCGTATACGTAAAGGTATAATCTTGCATTGATAAGATAAAATTGCTAAATCACACTGATCTCGAATAAGTTGCAATTGTTTAAATATATTTTTTAATTTCATACGTTTCCGTTTTTCGAAGTAAGTTTTACATAAGATTACAATAAGGCATAACTATGTCTTGATTATCATAAAATTTTCCATATTTTATGTATAAAATTAAGATAAAACCAAAAAAAATAAGTAAAACTATAATTGTCTTAATAGTTTTCTTAAGGTGTTTGTTTGAACGGTTCAAACAGAACTTTTCCTAAGTATATGTACATACATATATGCTTGCACATATGACAATATATCTTAAATTAAATAGAAAAATAGACACACATGTAAGAAAATATGGTTTAAATTTCATGCATAATAAATTTAGCATAAGGTCATTACGTAAAGTATAAAACTAAATTTGATAAAATATTTCCTTTGATTAACTATTTTTTTTATTATTCGATAATTGTCTAATTCAATTAATTTTAAATATCTCATACTCTCTTATTGTTATTTCTCCAAAATTTTTAATTCTATATTTCCTTCTGAAAAGTTCAAATTTAATATTTGATTTTTTGAGCTTTTAAGAAAAATAAAAAAGCCAGCTTTAGTATTTTATTTTTTTTATATTTAAAAGTACTTAATGTTTAACGCCACATTAAATATACATATTTATGAAATTAAATTTGGAAAAGAAAGAGAACAACATTATTAATTAGATTAATTACTTATATTAAATTTTATGTTTAAATTTTATGTAAATGTAAACAAAAAGCGGCTATTTTTACGTATGTACATGTAAAATTCGAAAACTATTAATTTTAATTGAACAGATAAAAAAAATGAATTTGGAATTTTTTTAATTACCTTTTTTTAGCCATTTTTTTATCGAAACTAATACTTAAACTCCATTTTTTATAAACAATAAAAGGAAATATACAAACCAAAAACAATTTCATACCGTATGTTTATATTCAGATTAGTCTTAATTAATTATTTCAGTTAACTTTCCTTATACTTATTAAAGATCTCATCATGTTGCCAAGATCGAATGACCTTGGCAAATTCAAAATCGATTTAAACCGTTATGATTGCACAAAAATTTCATTTGATAGTCATTCGCTTACAATTTATTCGCTAATCATAGTACGGAAAATTCATACTTTCCAAATATGAGGTAGAGTTTAAAAAAAATCCAGTTTAATCAATCGAAAATTTTATTTGTTTATGAAAAAATTTTTTGCAAAAGCAATAAGAATTGCAAGAGCAGTATATTTAAACAGTAATTTCCAATTACAAAATATATAAATATGTACGTTTGCATGTACATAAAATGAAAAGTACAATGGAATCAAGATTAAATAGAGGGATCATGTAAATTCATAGGCAAAGTAAAAATCTATTCTTAGCAAACCAATAAAAGTATTAAACATATAATAAGAAGTACATCTGTCAATTAAAATAAAAGAATAGAGAAACAAATAAATAGACAAGAATTGAGAAAAAAATAAGGAAGAAAAACATGGAAAAAACAAAAACGATTTTTTTTCATTGAACTTGAAATATATTAATACATACATATATACCTTTATTTAATACCATATGTTGTATATATACTTTTATACAACACATAAATAAGTATACCTTTATACATATGAACATAATAAATAATGCTAGATAAACATAATGATAGAATAAAGCAAGTAATAATTATTATAACAATATTGAATCAAAACTACATATTTGTATATTACACTAAAACCATGAATTATTATCTAACTTTATAATGACTCTATGATCACAATACGAGTTATCCCACCATGTGATTAATTAATAAAATTAATAAATTTATAAAGAAACAACAAATACAAATTAAATAGTTTATACACTATGATTAGTAATTATTTTAAAAAATGGTAATTAATGTATTAAATATTAAAATTAAGAAAAATACAAACCTAAAAACTGAAATGTTAAGAATAATATTTTTATAATTATTATTATTATTATTATTATTATTATTATTATCAATATTATTAATTATTATTATTACAAATATTGCATAATATTAATTGACAAAAACAAAAATATTCAAGTGATTTAGATCGTAAGGATTTCAGTTTTTTTACTTTTTAAACAAAGATGAAAAAATGATAAAAAAATACAACAAAAAGGAAAAAAATGCAAAAAAAAATCTACAAAAAATTTAAAAGGCAAAATAAACTAAAAATTTAAAAAAAAATTTTTTTTTGTTTTTATTTTATTTTTTGTTTATTGATTTTTTTTGGTTTTCAGTTTCCCTGAGTTTTTTTTTTTAAGAATTTTAAGTTTGTTGAAATTTATTTTTCACTTTAATTATAATACATACAGTTTTCTAAAGTTAATTATCTGTAGGTAGATAATTTAAAATGGTAGCAATTATTTATGGGAGCGAATACACAAAGTTTTCACTTAAAATAGTGTAAAAGAGTATCATGCTGCTTAAAAAGTAGCTTCGTTTTAGACTTGTAATTTTTGATACAGTTGGTACCACTATATCTTAGTTAAGGAAATTTTTAATAATTCAAATTTTGTTTGCATC